TTCTTTTGCTTTGTATTTAAATATACTCTCGTGTTAGGACCCTAAAGATAGACTTGAGGAAGGGGTTCATTGGATCTCTCTGTGGTACATTTCTATAATTTCCCCAACTACTCAGAAGATTCTCAAGTCCAAGAGCAGCCTGGGCAACACTAAGAGATCCCAGCAAAAAAATGGAAGTCCAACAACTTTAGGCAAAGTTGACTGGGTCACACCGTAAGTACTTGTTGAAGCCTGTTCTTTCTCAACTTGGCCAGAGTGAAACCAGGAACCCACCACATATTAGTGACATTTGTACCCAACAGCTTGCCCATTTCAACAAGGTCATCAGATTCCTAAAATGTCATCAAAGAAGAGGTCAAATATTTAAGAAAGCATGGTAATTTATCCTTCCCTCCTTACTGATGTTATGAGGAGGTAATTCTCCTACATCCTCTTTCCAGGGCCTCTGGGAAGGATGTTATAAATGCTGCAGCTAGTAGGGATGAGATCACGACATCACTGAGAAAGAGGATGAGCCATCCCAAAGACAGTCATTCTTAGGCTGTACTCCAAGGGAGGGACTTTGGCTTTGCTCTCAATAGCAAGTGAATGCTGATGGAATTTTAACCTCGCCTATAGTTCAAACCTCATGTAGAGCATTGGACAGATAAATAAAGGTTGCTTTTCTTGGGAAGGAATAGAAGTTTATGTCATACAGTTTTCCAATCACCTCTGTGAAGCATTATGAATTTACTAATGCTAACAGAAATTAACGTAAATGAGCTTTGTTTTGGTTTGGTTTGGTTTGGTTTTTTCAAGACAGGGTTTCTCGGTGTAGTTTTGGTGCCTGTCCTGGATCTTGCTCCGTAGACCAGGCTGGCCTCGAACTCACAGAGATCCGCCTGCCTCTGCCTCCCGAGTGCTGGATTAAAGGTGTGCGCCACCACCTCCTGGCTAACATAAATGAGCTTTAAAGGACGCCTGAAACCCAGCATCATAAGGGACAAGTGACAAGTGATAAAAGAGAGAAATGGATTGTCCTTACTACTACAGTATGTAGCGCCTTGACTAAATATTTGATAGTTTGCTTGCATTTTCGGATTGGCCAATATTCTCCAGATTAAGCAGGTCCATTCCACAACCACCTCTCTGTCACCTACCTCCAGCTGGAAGTGTCAGAGCGGCTACCATCCCTTACCCCTTATCCTGTAACAAAGGGATGGAATCGTGACAGAAAAAACATGGCGTGGCTTATCCCAAACTCCCTTCATCCCAGTGGCCTTCCTTCAAGACAGCTGCAAATGGACTGATGACCAGCTCCTGAGCTCCAGCTCTCCTTTCCTCAAGACAAAAGGACCTTAGAGCACTAGCGCTGAGATGCCTTTGGGGGTCCTAGTCTTCATCTTCTAAGTCTTGCTTAGAAGAAAAAAATCCATTTTTTTTCTCCAACATCCTGTCCTCAATTCACTGGGACTGTTATCAATTCGTGAAGTAAATGGACAGGTTTGGTAACACACACAGTATTGACAGCATCTTGTTTAGATTACTGGTTCAAGAATTCCAAGTTACATTGGAGGTAATTATTCAAACTGAAGACACATGTATGTCTGATGTGCACAGTGCAGAACCAGCAAGGCAGAGCTATCTGCAGGACATTTAATTGCATAATAAATGAAGATCCAGCATGTACCCTGCCCTTGGGAGCTTATAGTGTAGTTGAAAGACAAAAATTAACAAAAATGTCAGGTACTAAATACTTTATTTAGGTATGTTTGTTAAGCAGAACAGTAGTATAATTTCATAATTCACATTTATTCCCATTCACAGAGCTTGGGGAAAATGTTCCAGTAGCATTAGGTATCAACTCTTGAATACTCAAAATAATCTGTCTTCTCTCATTATTCTGGGTAATAGATGCATATAAATTAACTCATTTTTTCTGCATAAATTATCCCTCCAAACTAATTTGCAACATATAATTCTATCTGTAAAAAGCTGACACAACCCCTCATGAATAGAATATAAATAAAAATGTGAAAAGAGCACACATCTTAAAACCTGAGCATAAAAACTGAATACACTGGCTTTGGCCACCAACCTTTGCCTTCAAATGCTAAGCATGGGCTGGCCCGTGAGCTGCTGGGAGGAGGTACCAGCCATAGATGAGTCTTCTGTTTAAGAATTCACTGAAGTTTTTGGGCCTCTGAATGCAAGTATTAAATTAAAAATTCTACCAATTCAGTGAGAACAGGTGGAGCGCTCACCTGGAGTGGCGCAGCGATGGTTTATTTCCCCTTCTCAACAGTCTCTGCATGTTCCAGTCTGACAGAGAAGAGGCAGTTTATTTTAAAGTACGAATGTAACACTTAAGGGTAAACGTATTGGTAACCTAGTCTCCATTGGCATACCAATGTGGGGAGAATTTCCATGTAGGTCCTAAGAAAGCGGGGGGGGGGGGGGGGGGGGGGGGGGGGGGCGGGGGGGAGACACAGCTCCTTCAGTCCAGCCAGCAGCACTAAAAGGAGACTAGAAACAGCAAGCTGAATGAAAACAGGCTTGTGTCAGGGCAGGTACCGGCTCCCTACAGCTGGGAAGGTTGAAGGCCGCTCCTAGTCACACACCTCTGACCAGGCCTGAGCTCGGCTCTCACAACCTGAGAAGCAGGCAGAGCCTGTCGATGGAGCAGCATGGGGATCCAGCTGTAGCTTGGCAGTTTAAAGTCTGCTCGCACAGTCAAAAGAGACTAGAGCTACGAAATAAAGAGGTCCAGATGGAATAAACCTCTAAACAGGTTCTCGTGTGTTTTACAATGTGCATAGGCTTAAGAAAGAAAGAATATGGGTATAGACAGTCATAGAAAAGAAATAAATAGCTTAAAAATAACAAAGTCTTTAAAGAGAGAAGTAAAATAATAAAAAAGAATAAGTCACATAAAGATGAAAGACAGAGTCTGGATTCCATATTTTATTATGTTCTCTTTATAGTTTTTGACTGTTAATAGATAAGTGACAACTGCTGAGAGACATTTGATTGTAAAAACTACTAAATTAAACCAACCTATATATTTTTAAATTATCTTGACTTCAAAATTTATGTCAAAAAGATATGTTACCTTGAGGGAGAAGTTATGCTTTTGTTTCTACAGGAAATAAGAGACAATGGATTTATTCCAGGTTAAAAAAAAATCAGGTTTGATGGAGGAAGACCCCCTGAAATCCTGACTACAGACATGAAAAATAAACCTAAAGTAACTACAAGACACGTGATGTATATTTTACCTGCTCAAACATAAAATAAACAATTATCTATGACTGACTTATGCACAATACACAGTTTTTATTTGTATTAATACAGCTGTGTGTGTCACCTTTAAAAGTTTGTATATTTTCAGAACAAGGGGACCAGACACCAATAAAAATGGCCCAGGTAATCCAACATCAAAAACAGCTTCACGACTGAGATGATCCAGTCTCACAGACTTCTCCAGACTTAACAATTATCCTGTTTTTCTCACAGTCCCCCAAAGATTACCAGCGCGCCCAGTCAGTGTGAAGTAGTTTAGAAAACTACGCCCACATTCCCAAAATATTGGTTATAAATGTTTGTTTTCATTTAAGGTCGGTTACAAATTGTTATTGGTCATATTCAAGCTCTTTCTAAACAGAAGAAAGGCAGATATGATACAGAAATGATAGGATAAAAGGGTAGATTACTGAATCTACTTTAATCCAAAAAACAACTGTTAACCTCACACTATTTTACATTGGTATGGATTTTGGTTTATTAATACAAATTTAAAGTTAATTTTGTTATATGTGTATTTCCATTAAGAAATTAAGAAATACACATTAATAGTTAGTCATCTATAATAGTCAAACTTATAGTGATGTTAGTTTTCTAGGTATACAAAGACATATTTCAGATATATAATCTTCAAACACTTCAAATTCCTACAGAATATGGCATTTAAAATGTTTTAATAACTTAGACTTTTCATGACATTGGGACACGTCTGCTCCTGGCAGCACCAATATACTCCAAAAAAGATGACGGGCATTGAAGAAACTCCATATTGAGTTTGTTTGCTTTCTATATGGCAAAAGTTAGCCATGTGGGCAAAGAAACTGCCCTTGCCTCAAGTGCTGACAGTAAATGTGCTGTCCAATCTGGACAAGCAGGACACAAAGAAAGGCGACAGCCAAAACAAGGTAGGACAGTCCTTCAAAATTCTGTTTCACAGGAAAGTCTGTCAGCTATGCTAGGCCTGAAGGCCAAAATTGGGTGTCCCAATGTTACACCTTAGGTGACTGTCTAGGCAGTCAGCTGTTTCCGTCATTTCTTACATTTTTTGGAAGTCACTTGCTTACACTTCCTGCTTACTCAGGTATTACTATTTCCTTCTCAGGTCTTTGATGGAGTTGAAGACTAAGTAGTTATAATTATATAGTTTCCTTAGTTATGATAAAGGATAAATTAGATATAAAACTTTAGACTCACCAAGATAGGATAGATAATTGAATGCTTTCTCTGATTTTGTCAAATACAAATAGACTGGATAGCAGAACTATAATTCTTACTTGATAACTGTTTTGTTGTATGTAATTTTACTATGTTAAAGTTAAAACCATGCTTTTTGATTAGATAGAAAGGGAGAATGCTGTGCGATGGTCCTTCTGTACTCTGTGAATATGTATTGCTCTCATTGGTTGATAAGTTTTGGCCTATGGCAAGGCAAGATAGGGCTAGGCAGAACAATCACACTGAGGACTCAGAGGAAGAGGGGCGGAATCAGGAGAGGCGAGTCAGCTGCCCACAAACAAGATGCCAGAGAGCAGGTAAGCCACCAACCGTGTGGTAATAAATAGATTAATAGAAATGGCTTGATTTAAATGCAAGTTAGTAATAAACCTGAGCCATCAGCCAGGCATTTATAATTAATAAAAGCTTCTGTGTGTTTATCTGGGACCAGGCAGTCGAGACAGAGAAACTCTGCCTCTGTTTACATTTCATTGTTTTTTGGGGGGTTTTTTGGCTCTTGTTCATATAGCCCAGGCTAGTCTCATGCTTGCTATGTAACTAAAATCAACCTTGCTCTTCTATACCCCCCACCCTAAGTGTGAGGATTACAGGTGAGTGCCACCATATCTATATCCAGCTTCTTTCTCATTCCTTTTCCTCTTGTTTACACAACAAACCAGTTTCACTGATGACTTCAGAACATGGTGTGTCCAGGAAAGGGAACTGAGGCCTGGGCAAGTGTAGATGGCCAAAGATGAATGGGTCGGACCATAAGGAAGCTACCCACTCTCTATGCTCAAACTCCCCTACCCAGACTCACCACCTGTGAAACATCCTGCCTACAGCATTTCCTAACATGCCTAAAAACGCTACAACCTAAAAGTTCTCCAACTGCCACACCTTGCATTTAGCAGGCCATTCATTCAGGGGTACGAACTGCTCTCCCATATGTTCTCATGCTGAATCAAAGGCTTCAGATGTAACCTCTGGGTAGCCTACCGACTTAGTAGGCAGATCCAAAGCCTGATGTACAATCCTCAGCACTGAGAAAAACAGAATGCTAATAAACTAAGTAAAGAAAGTATGTCAGAGATAAAGGACTCCATATTTAGTATACAGCTTTTGATTTATGACACTATTTTCCTGAATTTATTAGTACATCTTATTCACATTTTTGACTTGATTTTCCATATATATTTAAATCTCCACTTAATGTTCTGTTCCACTTGAAAACAGCAGTTAGATGACTCCTGGATCCCTGGATTGTGTTCTGTTCTAGTCTGAAGTACTAAGGATCGAACCTGGGGCCTTGCTTCTGCTGGGCAAGAACTCTATCACATCCCCAGACCTCCTTAAATTTATTATTATTTTGAAACAGAGTCATGCTGACTTTCCCAGGCTGTCCTTGAACTTGCTATGTTCTTGCCTCAGCTGCCCAAGTATCTGAGGTTATAAGCACCTTGATAAAAACATTACTTTATAAAATAAAATATTAAAAACATTTGGATGATGGTAAATAAAAAACAACATGAATCTAGTATATAGAAATAGTTTATTATTCCCCATAAGAGTTCAGGCAATAAGAATGCTATCTATATTGTATTCAGTTATACATCTTCATCTCTTCTAAGACCAATGCTTTCCAGGCTGAGGAGGAAGGTCAATGGTAAAACTCTTGCTTGGCACCTGGCAGGCCCTGGGATTGATCCCAGCACCACTGAAAAAAAGTCCATGCCTTATCTCTAGTGAAAACAATAATACATTCTTACTGTACACTTTTATGATTATTTAAGTGTAATTATTCATTACCATTCTAAGATTTGGAGCTGAATCATTTTTATATCCACTAATGTAAAATATTCTTAATTATATTTATGTGTGTATGTGTATATGCACGTGTGTGTGCGCGCACGCATGTGTGTGTGTGTGTGTGTGCTAGGATTAAAAGCAAATGCAATAACACCTGACTATAATTTTGCACTTTGGTTTGAGACAAGACCAAACCAAACTGACCAGAACTATGTAGACCAGGCTGACCTTGAGTTCTTGGTCATCCTGCCTCAACCTCATAAGTGCTGGGATTACACCACCACACCCAATTCTTCATAGTATTTTAAGTTGCTAGCTATACTGAGGTTGTCCTGAGAGAAAAACTCCGTAAGTTCAAGATCTGTGTGGCTCATAACTGTAGTAGGTACCTTAAGGACTCATCCTTACCATCCTCAGTAACTGCTCCATAGAGAGTCCACTGCACCACACTTACAGTAGCACGTTATTTTGCTGAGTTGCTCTGTGAAAAGCAGCATCACTCTAAGAAACCAGGTCTTGGCTGTAGAGACGCCTGAAGAGATAGGAGCACTTGCTGTGTAACCCTAACACTCCTGGAGAAAGCCGAGCTTACAACCCCAGTACTGAGGGGCAAAGACAGTGAGACTTCAAGGGCTCACTGGCTAGTCACCATAGCCAAAATGGGGAGTCTCTAGTTCACAGACAGCCCACCTCAAGTCAACAAGGAGGGAAGACACCAATGTCCTCTTCTGGTCACATCACACCACACACACACACACACACACACACACACACACGCACACGCACACGCACACGCACACACACACACACACACATACACACACACATACACACACCACACATACACACGGACATATATATACACACTACATATACACATAAATATACCACACACACATACCACATACACATACCACATACACACATACATATACTACATACATACATACACTACACACACACACACACACACACACACACACACACACACACAACCCTCACACATGCATACATGTACATATACACCACACACACACAGTCAAGTCTAAGGCAGTTATGATGGCTCACACTTATAATCTCAGCATTTGGGACATTAAGGCAGAAGGACAGCTGTAAGTCCAAGGCAAGCATGGGATATATAGTAAGTTCAGGCCATCCAGGGCTACAGAACGAGATCCTGGCTCAGAAAGAAGATGAAGAAGAGGGAAGTCGGGTAGAGAAGGAACAGGAGGAGGGGTAGTGTGAGACAGGATGGATGGTGAAGGAAAATCCTCTCTAAATGCATATCTTTAACTGACATTTTTTCTAACCTGTATTAAACAAATGATTGCCTATGCACACACATATGCACTATTACACACGAGGTATGGTGGAACACACCAGGAATCCCAGCCCTAGGAAGATTACTGTCAAGAGGATAGAAAGGCTCACACTGTGGTCAGCCTGGCCCACACTGTGAAATCCTGCCTCAAAACACAAACCAGAACATAAAGGTGAGCCTTAGCAAGGCTGCTAAAGTACTGTGCTGCTGATTTGAATGAGAAATGTCCTTATGGATTCATGTCTGAACACTTGGTCCCTAGGTGGTGGCACTGCTTGGAAAGGTTATGGAACCTTTAGGAGGTGAAGCCTTGCTAGAGGAAGTATGTCACTGGGGGTGGGCTTTGAGGTTTTACAGCCTGGCTCCACTTCCTGTTCCCTCTCTGTGCTTCCTGTGTATGGATGAAATGTGAGCAGCTAGTTTCCGGTTTCTAACACCATGCTTTCCGTAACTGCCCTGCCATGATGGATTCCATCCCTCTGGAACCAAAAGCATCAAGAGACCCTTTCCCCCTCTAAGTTTTGGTTATGCTGTTTTACCACAGCAACAAAAAGTAACTGACAAAAAAAAAAATTGATCTCAATCTTCTGTAAATACTCTTATTTTAGCAACAGCACAGTCTGTGTCTTAAAAATCCAGCTTGATACATTTAAACTATATCACAATCAGACAACAGAATTTTCTATTTCCAAGGCAAAAATACAAATACTGGTGCATATCTTTTACAAAGTGTCTATGTGCTAAAATTGCTATGGCCTCGAAAGATAAAGGATTCATACCTTTTAGATTACAACCAGTCACACATTGTTGTTTTGAAACATGTTCATACAAAGATAGAACCATTTTTAGTAACAAACCATAGAGCTATGATAGCCTAATTAATATTGTGCACGTGACCCCAGTCACCAGCCATCAGCATGGAATCATCTCTAATCAGACAGTGAGCTGCAGTCCTCCATCCACAACCAGAACATGTCCTGTGATGTACGGCGACTCCAAAAGAAAGACAACCGCATGCGCCACTTCAAGAGCATCTCCAAAGCGCCCAAGAGGGATGTTTTTCTTTAAATAGTCTTCTTTCAAGTGCTTTGTCATGTCCGTGTGAATGAATCCTGAGAGAAAAATGTTCAGTCAGTTAAAGTATAGACACTAAAGACGGCTGTTCATCTTTTATAAGGAGAGTTTGCTTCTGAGAATGGGACATTATTAATAAACACTGTTAGGAAATACCAAATATTGTTAGCAATTAATTAAGTGTACAATTTTATTAACTTTAACTCAGTGACTCTTTATTGAACACAAAAATGCCTGACTCCCAAGTCCATGACTCAGCTCTTGGCAAACATAAAGGTAACGTTGAGGAATGTAGTAGGCAGATACAAACATAAATTAAACAGTGCATTCTTTGGATGGCTATAATCTACGAGAAAGGAGGCAATTGCTGCATACCCAGTTGTAATGTAATAAAGTCTGGTGAATCCTCCTATAACACTATAAATAAAACACTAGAGAAGTGATTTTCACACAGATGGGGGAGAAAGTGAGAAATAGCGTTGAGAGAAGGCATCACAAAGATGGTCCCATGAACTGATTTTGCAATCCTAGTAAGAATTAATCCATTCCACTTACTAAACCAAGATAATTGATGAGAGGATAGCCCAGGATTCCAAAGTCCACATAAGAAAAACTCTTATGGTCATATCTAATTCTGATAAAAAATATACACAAAAGATGAAATTTTTAACTCAATATTGGTATACATGCTATAGAGTATACAAAGAGCAAGTTCTTCAGAGTGAAATTCAATATATATTCAATAATTCACAATGATAATATGTATGCACACATATACCAGGATCATCTATAGGTTTAAGACAGTAGTTCTAAACCTTTGGGTCTTGACCCTTTGGGGGTTCAATGACCTTATCACAGGGGTCACATATCAAATATCCCATATATCAGATATTTACATTACAATTCATAACAGTAGCAAAATTACAATTATGAAGTAGCAATGAAATAATTTCATGGTGAGGGGTCACCACAACATGAGGAACTGTATTAAAGGGTCACAGCATTAGAAAGGTTGAGAACCACTGATTTAAGAAATTCCTACAAGATTATAGAGACAAATATATATAGATCACTAGTAAAATGTCACCACATAATATCTTGTCTACCAATTAATACTAAAAAAAATTGTTTGAGACATGGTCTCACCAGGTAGACCAGGCCAGCTTAAAACTCACATAAATCCACCGGCCTCTACCTTTTGAGTGCTAGGACTGAAGGCGTATGCCACCATGCCCAGCTTCTGTCACTAGGTTTTGTTTTGTTTTGTTTTTTAAAATGCAAACAGTAGCCAGGCAGTGGTGGCGCACGCCTTTAATCCCAGCACTCGGGAGGCAGAGCCAGACGGATCTCTGTGAGTTCGAGGCCAGCCTGGGCTACCAAGTGAGTTCCAGGAAAAGGTGCAAAGCTACACAGAGAAACCCTGTCTCAAAAAACAAAAAAAAAAAAACAAAAAAAAAAATGCAAACAGTAACCTAGAGAGCAGCAGGTCTGGGAAAGTTCATAGTTCAAGGTGACAAAAGAGTACTCAATGCCAGACAAGCCATAGGAAGTCAAAGTTCACCTACACTCACCATAAAAAGTTTTCAAATTGGCTTATGTTAAACACAATCATTTATAAGTTAAATTATATTATGATTTACAAATGATGTGTTGATCAGTGTGAGCTAAATACTGGATTCATCTGCTAGTTTATTGTCTAATACTATATAATTAAGTTTACTTTGGGTTTTCACTTATGAAAACTTAAATCTTTTCTTTAAAGTCCTGTGAGAAATAGTTGTAGATTTTTTTTTCCTACCATAAAATCTGAGACAGTGAGAAGTTACTCAAGACATCTGGAAATAAATCGAAAGATCTTTCAACAAGGAACGGGTTAAGACCTGATACATGGCAGCATAAAATAATGTTGGTATTAATGACAGAAATGGAGATTTCACATCTGTAATCTTAGAAGGTTATGTGTGAATCCATTACATCACTACTGAAAACAAGGTGAAATACACATGTCAAAATGCTAACACTATCATCCAATTATCACTGGACACCAGAGTGGCAGCAGTTACCAGAATTATACACCAGATGACGATTCTCTTTGTACTTTGCTTTTTAGGCTGTCCACACAGATATACTTAATCTTTGCACTCAGATAAAATTATTGAAAAAATATGAACATTATGAGTTACAGATGGTCTATACTGAGGGCCAGAAATAACAAAACTAATGGTGTACTACTTGAGTTTGCCTGTGAGAATATACTGTGAAACACAATAAAACCTCAGCGCGTTTATTTGAAAAGTCAGCAACATTTCCTTTCATCTTAAACACAGGGGGTGAGAAGAAAAGGATGAAGACAGACAGCCTCTGTGGACCTTCAACTCCTGAGCAGACCTGCTGTTTTGAGACAGGATCTTACCGCGTAGCCCTCGCTGTCCGGGACTCCCTATGTCATCAAGGCTTATCTCAAACTCAGAGACCCACCTGCCTCTGCCTCCCGCACGCTGGAACTAAAGGAGTGTGCCACCACACCTGGCCCAAAGACGAAGCTTAGTTCTTCTGTGAGGAGCCAGAATCCAGCAGAATCCAATTCTCTTAAGAACCCGTGAAACTGATGAGATCCCAATGCCGTGTGCTAGCCCACTTCTTTTCAAGGATGCCCCAGAGAAAATGAAGCCTATAATCACCTCAGACTATAAAAGTTGAGTGCAATAAAATGACTAATGTGAGTGCTGACAACTTTGTGTTACAATCCCTAACCTAAGGCTCGGGGGACATTGCAGAAAGGGGTGGGAAGGTCTTAAGCCGGCAGAGCAGGATGTGTGCTATGAAATGTTTTTTCTGCATGTGACAGGGAAGCTGACCTCATGAAGTCTCAACAATGCGGTCACCTAAACAAGACCTGCCCAGTGACAATTCCAGTCGACACAGCAGCATGGAAGGGAGGGACCCCACAAGGCCTGACCCCGAGATAAGAGCTGCAGCCAATGCATGGCTGCTGAGAAAAGGAGAAACAGTCTCCTCCAAGGCTGAGTCCCCAATAGGCTATCTAATCCCAAGGAGTCAGCCCTAAATCCATACACATCCAAGCCACACTAAGAGGAAGGAGCAGACTGTTACACATGCATAACACATGTATCTATGTACCAATAATAACTGAAGAGGAGGTCATGAATATGAGAGGGAGTTGGGAGAAACAGAAGGGGTAGCAGGGGGAGAAGGAAGGGTGGAAATGATATACAGTATTCACATATAATCTCAAATTTTTAAATGAAAAGAGAAAAATCCGTTATCTTCTCAAAGAATTCATGATACAACTGTCTTCTACTCTTTAAAATTCTAACAAAATTGGGCTGGAAAGACGGCCCAGCGGTTAAGAGCACTGGCTGCTCTTCTAGAGGTCCTGAGTTCAATTCCCAGCAACCACACGGTGGTGCACAACCATCTCTAGTGGGATCTGATGCCCTCTTCTGGAATAAAAGCGTACATGCAGATAGAGCACTTGTACTTAAAATAATAAATACACCTTCTAAAAAAATTCTAACAAAATTGGCATAAAGTGTTTCATATTAACTCCATAAACTCAGCAGAAAAGGATGTATTTTAATCTAAAAAACAAATAAAAACAAGCCATAGGAAACCACAGTAGCCATGAACACTCTTGTCAGTACAGGCTAGAGACTTTCAGGCCGACTTCCCGCTGGCTCCGGTGGTGTTTGCTGTGGTGAGGAGACCACTGGATTTGGGTTCGTGAATCAGGATTCTGTTCCCTGCTCTGCGATACTGGAAAGCTGTGAGCGAAGGAGGCTGAGCACTAACCGACACAGTCCATGTATCACAAAAAGAAAAACAGACCCAAGATGGCGAGTCCCTGAGGATTCCTTCTGGCCGTGCATGGCTGGCTTTTGAATAAGAAGTCTTCATGACTGGAAGGTTAGGAAACTGAGAAAAAAAGAGCCCTCGTTTCTTACATAACTTCTTACACACAAATAGGTGTGTCTACTACCCAAAAGGAGTCTCCTCCACAGCTCCAACTCGGAAAACAAGGACATCAGTTGTCAGAGGGACCCTCCGCAGCCCCTCTGCAGAGCTGTGGACGCACACTAGCAGTGGCTATCTCACAGAGAGCTGCTGGCCATCACTAAACTGTACAACCTAACACTGAAGTGGGTGCAAGGGAAGGGAAGGGGCCGGCTAGACGGTTCAGTGGATAAAGGCACTTGCCGCAAGAACCTGACGACCCGAGTTCAATCCCCAGACCCAGTGATGGAAAGGGCAGAGCTGTGATGTCCCCTGGCCTCCTCGAGTGTGCCACGGCACGTGCACACGTGGCATGAACCACAAATGTTCTGTTTGGGTTTTTTAAGGAAGGGGAGAATTTGCCCCGACACACCAGTTTTTCCTCTTGGATCATGTCTAATGAGAAAATGAACATACATCCCTACAGATCCTTCTCTTTCATCCGTGGGGTCTTTTTAATCAGTAGACTTTATTTGACCACACTTTAGGTGTACAGAACTATGGAACAAAAGCTCCTGTGCTGATCTCACTGCCCTCACCCCTTCCTCCCTCCATTTCCGCCATGGTCAATATCTCACCTTAGTGTGGTTATGTGCTACAGCTAATGAACAGTACAGACATGTTACTAGGTAAAGTCCTCGGAATCCTTGAGGGGTCACCCTGTAGTGTATAGATAGGCTTCAACAAATGCTGTTGTCATGTTATCCACCATTAGAGTACCACGCACAGTAGTTACTCTGACCTGTCCTCTCTGCAGCCTTTCAGACCTCATCTGTCTGCTCCAGTTCACTGGAAATTAAATAAGAAATGTTAAGCTAATCTCCTAAGACAAATCATTTGGGCTGTACCAAATGTCAATGTTATCGTATGCCAATGCTCATGAACCATGTCTCCCTTAGAAACACATTCACAGCCCAAAGCACTACATATCAGTTATCTCTTAGGTACCCCACCCCATCTATCACCGAGCTGAGAGGAGACATTAGTGGTCCCCAAACATCCCACACACCTATCATTATGCTGTTTCCTTTCCAGTTCGTCTTCTTTCCTCGGCCCCCAAAAGACACTCCCCATATCATTCCTATTAGTAAAGCTCTGGGAAGTTTGCTCTGCTCGCCTACTTTTGCTATCCCTGCATTTACCAAGACTTAAATGGCTATAAAAACTATAAACTACCAGTAGGTGCCACTCTCCAACAGAGGATGCTGCTGCATTACTTCCCTGTAATGACACTTAGAGATTTCCAACTGGCTACAAAGCCACCATCCCTTAGACCAAGAAACAGTAAGTGAAAGGACATGCAATCGAGCAGCTTAGAACAAAGACACTACACTTCACTACCGGATATACAATCACACACCCAGCATGGGGGTGAGAAGTGGTGTCTGGGGATCACTCAGGGCCTAGGGCATGCTGGGCAACTAGACCACACCCCCAAGCCCACTTTTAAAATATGAACTCTTTAGAGTCTGGGATACTCTGACTCCTAAAGGCAAGCATGTAGTTCTTGTCCAGTGAGAATTTGTATTTATAATATCTGAAGAAGGTACATGTCATTGATTCATTCTGACTAGTAATTGACTATAGTCAATCTATCAACTATTACTTCTCACATTCATCGATTTCCAATTATTGAGATTCATCTATAATGACAACTTTACTTTATAAGCTTAGCAAGTACTTTAAAGAACAAGATCTTTAAAGAACAGTCAAGGATTTAGGACAGAGTGACAGTCTAACTCATTATTTACCTTGTTCCCAGTACAATTTGCTTTTCAACTGTTTTCCTACTAATTGGAACCTCCACCTGAAGTTAATCAAGAAAACGGGACATAAAGAGGAACAAACTAGAGGCCTGAGGGCTGGGAAGATGGCTCAGTGAAGAACGGCTTACGTACTAGCATAAGACCCACAGTCTGGACACCCGGGACCCACACCAAAGCCAAGCATGGCAGACTCAGGGTCTTGCTAAGCTTAAACAACAAGCTTCATGTTCAGTGAGAGACCCTGTCTCAAAAAATATAGTGGAGAAGCGATTGACTGGCTTCCACCTGGGAGTACATGGGTAAGTACATCGTAAGTGCACGTTTGTTAGCTCTGTTTAAGGATCTCGTGAAGAAGCTGATTTATCTTAATATCAAAATCAAGTCAATAAATAACCTATAGAATTGATTTAATCTTGTCATTTCAATCCGTACTATGAAACATTTTACACACACACACACACACACACACACACACACACACACACACACTATAATATTACAAAGGCCACTCTACTAAGTGGCCATGTTTTAGCAACAGATTTTTTTAGCCCCAATATGATTGCACTGGAAAAATAAGATCTTTACAAAAGACTCTATGGCACTTGCATAACACCTTTAAAACTCCTCCCCTGTATACAAGCTGGATTTCCAGCATTCATCCCATTGCCTTGACAACTAATCCACAACAGACATCCTTCAGCATCTCCCTAGTGTGGTACCCATCACCATTCTACCTCCAGCACTTGACATCGCAGTGATTTGTTCGTTTATGTCTTCCCAACTGTATTCTGCATCTTGCAGCAGAAATATCTCATTCATTTTTATTACCCCTGAACCCAGTACAGAGGAAGACACCCCAGGACATCCGCTGCATGAGTCTGTGAATTGGAAAGAAGGGCCTTCCTCTCAGCTAGTCGGCTTTTACATCACCAAGAAATGGAATTAACTCCTCATTATTCATACCACTGCAACCCCCCAAAGAGAAAGGGCAAGTGCAAGCCATTCCACACCACAAATCAACCACCCTGTAGATGCAGATGGCTTGCTCAGCCAACACCGAATGTGACAGCCTGCACAGAGCATAGAGAAGCAGAGAGCCAGGCCAACATAATGACATGGAATTACAAGGAAAGCTTTTGTTTGGGAGGCCTTTTCCCTTCAAAAATCTGACATCTGAGCTGTAATAACTTCCTTAGTGTTCATAGATTTGGTATGTCTCAACTTAGCTAGTCTGAAACCAAACAGTGAGCTGGGATGAAGGTTCACAGAACATCCTGAAAAACACCTGCCAGCTCCATGTGAGTGTCAACTCTCAGGTCCCAGCTGGAGCCAGGAGGGAGTTAAAAGGGAAAGATGGCAGAGGTCCACAGCAGTGCACTCTCCTACAAACAGCCAGTCACTCCAAAGAGCAAACTTCACACAGGTGATTAATTCTTAAGTATTTAAAATTACAGGAAATAAAGACCGTATCTAGGTGTGGCTTAGCAGTGAGACACAGATCTGAATTATGGCATCTTTTTATTAGCAAACGGAAAATAATATACAAGTGGAAAAAGGGGGATAATAAGTAAATAAATACGTAAACAGGTAAGAAGCTAGAGAATCCCAGATCATTAGAGAAAAGACGGTAGCAGAAGAGGAGTAAGCGACATAAATATTACGATTCTAAAGGAAACCGTGGGGACACTATTCTTTCAGCTTTCCATGAAATGGCCAGGTAGCTTTAGGGAGATTACATTGAACCCTTGGTCACAATCTTCTAAAATGTCGGTGTGGCTGGAATAAGCCAGGTGTGGTAGAGCAAGCCTACAATCCCAGCACTAGAGAGCATGGTGAAGACCCCGGCTGGAAACACAAGATGACCTCCAAGGTTCTGTGACCATAATGTATTCCCTAACTTGGGCAAAATTTAAAAGTAAAGACTTTGATGTAAAACATGAGGTCCAAGAAAAGTTCTTTAGTCACTAGTCCATTATTTCTTTCTACAGTGATTTTAGAGAGACACTACCCAAACGTCAATTAATGACTAGCAATTTACCAATTAATGGGCAAATAAATGGCCTTTCTTTATGCCACAAAACCATAGTATGGTTATTGTACAAAGTCTTCACTGACCTGGCGCAACCACATTGACTCTGATTTTCTTCCGCGCGACCTCCTTAGCGAGTGAGCGTGAAAACCCAATGAGCCCTCCTTTGCTGGCGCTGTACGCCGACTGGCCCACGTTGCCTTTGAAACCAATGATACTCCCTGCGTGGAAAGAAGAAATAGAGTAAGTGTGAACCAATGGGCTTGTTATTTGAAAATTCACATAATGTACAGTCAACAAACCAGAATGGGAAACCCACCTTCCTCCACTCTTTGCTAACATGAGTACCTCTAAGTATTGTCCTTTAAGGAGTAGCATTTAAAGGGTTCAACCGGATCCAGACACACACGGCAAACAGAAACGGAGAGAAAAAGATGTAAAACCCCCAGGAACAGGGAAGAGGCTTCCATGATTTGTTCTGTATGTGAAAGATTGGAAGAGGTCAGGGGGGAATGCTGGGACTGACAATGTGATTGTGTGAATGAGAAAAGTCCCCTAGGCTCTGACAGCGGAACACCTGGCCCCCAGGTGTCGCTGTTTGGGGAGTTTTCGGAGGTGTGGCCTTGCTGGAAGTGTGTCATGGGGAAGGGGGGGGCTTTAGGAGTAGATCGCTTCACCCTGCTCCCAGTTCTCTCTCTACTTCATGCTTGGGGTTGAGAGGCTGTCTGTCACCTCTCAGCTTCCTGCTTCTCCCACCATGCCTGCCTCCTGCCTCCCCACCATGATGGACATCACGGTGTCCGTAAGGGACCATAAGCCAAAATAGACTCTCTCTTTTATAAGTATTCTTGGTCATGGTGTTTTATCACAGCAGCAGCAAAGTAACAAGCAGAGGCAGAAGTGAGATAGAGCCAGAAGATGTAAAATGAAGGCTGATTCATTTTATGATTCTCTTGTAGATATGAACAAGTATTCCCGTTCACCTGCAAGAATGAGTCCAGTAAATTTCAACTACAGTCAATCAAAATCAACCATACAAACTTCCTAACAGTGCAATGTTGCTACTTTTGTTTATATTTATCTTGTACTTGCTAATAAACATTACTCAATGACCTTGTCTAATAAATAAGTAAGAATAATTTATAATTCAAATATCAATTTATGCCAAATGCATGTTCGCAAAACAGAAGTAGGGAAGTAATTTTCTGCACCACTGGCCTGTGCTTACAATATAAAAATTGAACAGGAACCTAACACACACACACACACACACACACACACACACACACAAAACAAAAAATTGAAATTACTTTAGAAAAAGAGAATATTCTCCTTTTTTATTATAATCAAGAAGCCCAATGTTAAAATGTTTACTTCTATTAGACAGTAAACCATTGCTTTATGACAGTAACTTGCCCCAAGAAATACACTGTAAGGTGTGTTCACAGGGGTGCGAGCACCCCAGAGCGTGCTTACATAAAGCAAGCTGTTATAGCCCACTTCCTCTGCACTATATGGTATTTCCCACTGTGCCCAAGCTACAAACCTATGTAACATGAATGCACAGATCGGCAAACAAGGATAGGCACATGTGTATCTAACCATGAAGAAGAACAGAAAAAGAGTAAAAATAAGCTACAGAACAACTGTCATGTATCTGTCCTTCACCAACTGACTTGTCACATGGCACATCACCAAATGTGGGCCCTCAGTTAAGACAGGAAGAGAACTGTTCGGCACAGGAAGAAGGATAAGCCATCAGGTGAAGAAGGGTGAGCAGGAAAAGGGGTGTGGGGGAGAAAGAAAGACAAAAGCCAAGATCCAGGCATGGCAGATGATCCAACGGGAAGCTTCGTAACTAGCAATCAGACCACACTCCGTTTTCATTTGGTCAAAGTCATGACTTCTGAATAGCAACCAATCTACAAGTTCAGCCTTTTCTGTTGGTACTTTTCTATAGAATAAGTATGTCCACTTATTATAAATACACCAGTCTTAGCAACATACTAAGATTTGGGGACTTAAGTTTCTGTAACTTATCTAAAATGTAGGTATTTTAACAAATATGCCCTGTGATATCCAGGCACAGTCTCGGGTCTGTGTGTCAGGTCTTAAGAACCCCAAATCTGAAGTCCGAAGACTTCGGCTGGGCCCGAAGGCCACAGGTCCCCCATTCCTCCTAGGACAGAGCTTTAACAAGCACCCTAACTCTTCTGCAGCTGTTCAAGGTATTGCTTGTCACTTAAAAATAAAAAGCAGACAGTCTGCTACAATTTTCAAATTCTATCAAATCCCACGTTACTCTGCACTCTCCACTCTTCAGGCACGGATCCTGCCTCTTCCTCGTGGCTCCAACAAACTAAAGGCTGCTTCCCTCCACTCTGAAAAGCTGAGGTTTATTTAATCTTCCTTAAATCTTGACACTAGACAGATCAGTGATCCATGCAATTGCTGTAAATAATTATTACATAGCCTCCATGTCTACAAGTTTTCTTTGAAATTTGAAAAATTAGATTGGATATCTTTGCAATTTTTAAAGATAAAATATGACATCATTTTCTACCTCCTTCTTCCAGCCCTCTCATTTGCCCCCTCACAATATCTCAAATTAAGACTCTTTTTCTCTTTGTTATTATTGTTACATATATATAAATGCATAAAAACAACCTGCTGAGTCTTTTTAGTGTTGCCTGAATGTAACGGTATCAGGCCTGACCACTTGGTACTGGATGACCAATTGGATGGCTCATCCCTGGGGAAGGCTATTTCTCCTGTTCTCAGCAAACCTTAGTTTCCTGTAGTTCTTTGTTTAGGGGTAGGACCCCTTGAGATTTCCCCCTTCTGTCTTAGCAACCTCTACTGTGGTGGTCTGAAAGAAAATGGCCCCCAAAGGGAGTGGCACCATTAGGAGGTGCAGACTTATAAGAGTAGGTGTAGCCTTGTTGGAGGAAGTGTGTCACTGTGGAGGTGGGCTTTGAGGTCTCATATATGCTCAAGCCACGCCCAATAAGACAGACCACTTCCTGTTGCCCGTGAGTAAAGATATAAGAATTCTTGGGGCGGGAGAGATGGCTTAGAGGTTAAGAGCACCGACTGCTCTTTCAGAGGTCCTGAGTTCAATTCCCAGCACCCACATGGTAATGAGATCTGGCACCCTCTTCTGTGTACATAATAAATAAATAAATCTTTAAAAAAAAAAGAATTCTCAGCACCTTCTCCAACACCATGTCTGCCTGCCATGATGATAATATACTGAACCTCTGAAACTGTAAGCCGCCACCTCAAGTAAATGTTTTCCTTGTAAGAGTTGCCATGCTCATGGTGTCTCTTCACAGCAATAAAACTCCTAACTAAGACATCTACTGATATATCACCATCCATGTCTTGTTTAGGCAGCCATATTATTGGGGTATCATACGTGTAGCATCCTGGTCATTTCTAGGAAACACAATCTCACAGTACATTATCTGGCCCTTTGGCTCTGTCATTATAGGTTTGACAAAAATAGAAAAGAAAAAAAACCGAGATGCTTGATTTCTCTTGAAAATTGAAGCTGCTGACAAAATTGGTACGGCATTCATATACAGCAAGTCTACTAGACGTGCGCAGCTGTGGCCCCTCCCATCCCATACAGTCTCGGAACACTGAATCTAGACGTCACTTATCACATGGCGTCTACTGTCGTTTTTTAATACTTGGTGAGTCAGTCATTTAACGCCCACTGACTCCTGTGGGGATGTGCATCTGTGAGTTGTGTCTCCTTCACTGAGCAGTTAAATACTTTCCCCACAGATAACAAAGGGATCCACAATTTCACTGTTGATGAAGTAAGTCAGTGGACTAAGTACTCTGATGTTTATATGCAATATAAATAATATAACATAAGATAACGCAGTCAACCCACGAGGGTGGGAACTCACCTACATTAACGATGGAGCCACCCTGCTGAAGCATCGTCCTCATGGCAGCTTTGCAGGTCAGCATGGAGCCCAAGAGGTTAGTGTGAAGCTGAGACACCATATCTTCGGTTCTTGTTCTTACGAAAAGAGCATCTCTACAGGAAAGAAGCAGCAGGAACATCAACAAGTATATCAAAGAATCCCAGTTGTGGGGCTAGGGAATCGGCTCAGAGTTAAGAGTTCCAACCGTTCTTTCGGGAGAACCGAGTTCCGTTCCCAGCACCCATGTCAGGAAGTTCACAACCACCTGGAACTCCAGCTCCAAGTCCTTAGCTTCAGGACTCCACAGGCAACTGCACTCATATGCACATTCTCATACACACATACACACACACACACACACACACACACACACACACACACACACACACACACATATGAACGCACGCACACATATAAACACACAAAATTTTAAAGTGGCAAAAGCAAATCTTTTAAAAAATCAAGTCAAAACGTATGTACAATTCTGATTTAAAATATAGTATAAGCTATGCTTTCTAGCTAAGCCGTCCCACTTTGAACTTGACTTTAAAACCACTAAAGTAGCTATTGATGACCCAGAGAGAAACCACGTGGTGGCAGGATTCTCTCTGTACTGGAGTGGCAAATGCTGCCAGTGGCTAAACACAGGATCAAGCAACCAAATGGCTTAAGCTACTGCCAGATTTGCCTTGTTTAATGAGACGGTGAATCTAAATACTGTTCCCTAAACTCCACTGTAGGTAGAGTTTTCCTGCCTGGCCCACAGTCAGGACAAATCTCTCTCACCTGCCAGTCCCACAGCCACTCAGACCCAACCAAGTAAACACAGAGACTTATATTGGTTACAAACTGTATGGCCGTGGCAGGCTTCTTGCTAACTGTTCTTACAGCTTAAATTAATCCATTTCTATTAATCTATACCTTGTCACGTGGCTCGTAGCTTACCGGCATCTTCACATGCTGTTTGTCATCGTGGCGGCTGGCAGTGTCTCTGACTCAGCCTTCCACTTCCCAGCTTTATTCTCCTCCTTGTCCCGCCTATACTTCCTGCCTAGCCAATGGCCAATCAGTGTTTTATTTATTGACCAACCAGAGCAACACATTTGCTATACAGAACATCCCACAGCACTCCGCTTTAAAAAAATGGCAGCCCCCTACCCTATTATTATTACATTTATCATTCTATATGCTACATTAGGGGTAAGCTGATGATGACCAATGGAACTCAGAACACTGGTTTCCTATGAGAAAAGATTAAGTGGTCTTCTGGCATGCTGGGCCATGAGCTGGTGATGGTATGTTAGGGCTGATCCAACCGGACATTAATCTCAACATAGAAGAATAGGGCTAAAGAGACAGCTCAGTGATTGAGAACACATACTTATCTTACAGAGGACCCGAGGTTAGTTCCCAGCACCCATATCAAGTAGCTCACAGCGGCCTGTATCTCCAGCTCCATGGTTCTTTTAGTCTCTGTGGGAACCGACACACATGTGTACATACTAACATGCAGACACACATGCATGCACCAATCTTTTTAATAAAAGAATGTATGGATTGACAATTTTCAAAGCATGTCTTTTCAAAAATAGCCTAATACATTACCCCATACTAACTGTGGTGATTTGAATGAGAATGGTCCCCATAGGCTCATAGATTTGAATGCTTGGTCCCCACTTTGGGACCGAGTTTGGGAAGGATTAGGGAGTGTGGCGTTGTTGGAGGAGGCATGTCACTGGGAGTGGGCTTTGAGGTTTCAAGACCTGCCCGTTCCCACTGTGCCCCATCTCTGCCTCCTATAAGGAGATCACGATGAGTTTGCGGCTGCTGCTGCTACCGTGACTTTACTCCACCAACATGACTGCAGGACTCTGAAACCATTCCTCAGTTCAACACTTTATTTTATACATTGCCTCGGTCATGGTACTTCGTCACAGCAATGGAAAAATAAGACATGGACCTATTAAGAAAAATCTCTTTTAAAAAGATATAAGAAATTTACCTTCATCTTTGACCAACCTGTTAATACCAGCTGCATTTACCAAGAAATTTACTGGACCTAAATGCTTCTCCATCTCTTCAAATGTATTTTGAACATCCTGTTCTTTAGCGACATCACAGCTAAATGCCAAGTGGTTTCCTACAAGACAAAGTGAAATCAGAATTGCCTACAAATCTGAACTTGAATTTTGAATGTATTTGCTATATGATTAGACTATAAGACAAGCCGGTGTTGAGCCCAGAGATGACCGCATGTCATGGGTTCCTGTCCTCATGGACCATCTAATGAAAGGGACAAAGTGGGCAGGAGTGAAGAAGAAATAGCGGGGTTTTGTTTCTTCCTTCTTGTTGTGTTTGTTTTTGCTCTGAGACAAGGTCTTCTTACTGTGCTGCAGAGGCTAGCCTCAAAACTCAGCCTGAGATTACAGTGGGCACATGAAATACGATATCACAGAAAACTAACTTGAACTTTGGCGTTTTCTGGCTGGGCGTAGTGGTACCAGGCACTATCCACCATGCCACAGCTTGCTGGATTCACAAGTTGAAAGCTATCCTGGGTAGGTGAGACCTCAGATCCTTAGGAAGGAATAAGCTTAGAACGTTTAAAAATAAAAATAGTCGGGGCCAGCAAGATGGTTCATTGGGTGAGGGTACTTTCCACTAAGCCTGATGATCTGGATTAAACCCATAGGATTCACATGGTGGAAGGAGAGAGCAGACTGACTTCTACATGTTCACCATGACTTCTACATGTTCACCATGGCACAGACGTACCCACCCACCTAAGTTAAAAGAAAAAAAATTCAATTTTAAAGCCTGCAATAAAATCTGGGCATGGTAACTAGCACATGCCTGCATTCCCAGCATTGAGACAGGAAATTGGGGCTGTAAGCTTGTGTGGCCAACATGGGCAGGGGAGGTGGCTCCGTAGAGCTCTGAGTTTGGCCTCTATCACCACACGCAAGCCATTATACTTCAAAGGAAAGTAATTCTCATTTAACAAGCTACCATGTTCATTCACATGCCCTTAACCTCACTGTGTAGCCAAGTTGAAACAACGGTATGGTACGTTGGAGAGCCACAGAACAGGTGTTAGCACCACAGAGCACCTTGGAGTATCAGTTGTCTGGCCAACTGAAAGCAGGGCTGACTGGGGGCTGAAGTCACACCTTGTGTTCACACCCAGGATGTACAGATCCCACATGGTGCTCCCCTGTGTTCCCAGCACTGAGGAGGCAGAGGCCAGATCTGGATCCAAGGGGAGCCTAGGCTGCACAGTGAGGCCCAGTGTCAGAGAAAGTAGGCTGGAGGCAGACATCACACGCAGGTTCAAAGTGTGCTTTGTACTAAAGATGTCACTGGCACAGCACAGGAAGGGTAATCTCAGCAGTGGGGCGATTGAGACACAAGAATCACGAGTTCAAAGCCAGTCTGAGTTACATATCAAGACTGCTTCCATATAAGTAAATAAATATAGCAGACACCCGATACACCCTCAGATCTCTAAGACCCAATGCTTTTCCGACAGTGACATGTATTTTTTTTTTCTCCATTCTAGTAACCACACTGCCTTCCGTGTTGTCTTCTCACAATCATCGAGACTCAAACTTGCAATTCAATGACTAATCCGTTATTAACAATCGGGGTGGGGGTGGGGGGGCTGGAATTGGAATGCAATTTAAAGGATCTGGCAAAACAAACTAGTAACTTATTAAAAGTGTTTGATCAGCTTGGGGAAAGCAGCCCTGTATCTAGCAACTGGTTTGCTACTTAAAAGAGTTTCTCTTTGACATACTGTTGTGTGCCTTCGCATAGGGCAAGGAGAGCCCACAGCAAAATACAAGCTAGCCGTTTCTACCCGGGCAGCCTGACCTTCCTGACTTCACTCCTTTCGGTCTGAGCCAGAGGCCGGAGCCAGGGCGGCTCTCAATGTCAGTCCTGGCCGTGGGGTGAGAGCCCCACTGAGGACTTGGTCGTGGGTCACGAGCGATCTGGTTCACAGACTGATCTGCAGGGCCAGGGACCCGGGGGCCGGTGGACTCGGGCTCGACGGCGGGCACCGCGGCCGCGCGGCGGGGGCACGTCTTCCGGTACCTACCGCCGAGCTCGCCGGCGGTGGCTTGGGCCACTTGCAGGTTTCTGGCGACGATCGCCAGACGGTAGCCCTTCTGTGCCATGAGCTGAGCTACCGCCCTGCCGATCCCCCGGGAGCCTCCAAACACCGCACAGACTTTGTCCATCTTGGACCCCCCGGACCGGCCAGAAGGATCCCTGGGAGTCAGAACGCCTAATAAAAGGCACAGTTGCGGTGGGGGGGAGGGAAAAACGAGTAAGCACTCCCTTCGAACAGCCGACCCCGGCCACCAAACAGGGCGCGAGGAGTTAGACGTCGGCGGCGCGCACGGGCTCGTCGGTGTTGCATTGCATGCTGGGACTTGAAGTCCTCGCTGTGAGGCCCCCCGCCGGCGCCTGTGAGCATTGCAGGAGCATTGTTGCTGGCTGCCTCTTCCCACGCTGGGATAGCCGGTTGGCACTACGGTTCAGGGGACCAAAGGTCATTTGCGAAGAGATAATAGAGTTGCCAAAACCGTGGACTTTCCAGACCGTAATTAGCAGCCACATTATGTCCTTTGGGGTGTGGACGTGTCCTGGCTTACCTACGTTTTTTACTGTAGCCAAAACCTGTTGGAGAAATACGAGGTCGTCCCCCACCCCGCCCCCCCACAAGTTACCGTAGACATTAGCCTTGCACGGCAACATTATTATGAGGGTGGATGTCCTGTCGAAAAACACTAGCCGGACGTGGTGGCATAGGCCTGTACTTCCCGAACTCAGAAGGTTGAGGCAGAGGGATCACTGAGAGTTCAAGGCCAGCCTGGTCTACAAAGTGAGACCCTGTCTCAAAGAAAACAGCAAAGAAAGAACACTGTGTAGAGGTTCAATAAATGTATGTGGGGTGGTGGTGGCGCTCGCCTTTAATCCCAGCACTCAGGAGGCAGAGCCAGGCGGATCTCTGTGAGTTCGAGGCCAGCCTGGTCTACAGACTGAGCTCCAGGACAAGCAACAAAACTACACAGAGAAACCCTGTCTCGAAAAACCAAAAAACATACATATATACATACATACATACACTCGCTCCTCTTTTTGAGACAGAGACCTGCTATGTTACCTAGGCTGGGCTAGCACTCACTGCATAGCCCAGGCTGGCCTCAAACTCTCAGTGAGCCTCCTCCCTCAGCCTCCAGAGTGCCGGGAGTACAGGCATGGGCCACCACACCCCTTAAATGAATGATCTAAATAGTCTGAAGATTAAAGAGCAAGCTTAGATCATTATTGACAATATTGGGTTCCTGTGTTCCTAAATAAGATGTTCTGAGTGCTTAAAAAAAAAAAAAAAAGAAAAGCAGCTGGGTAGGGGTGGTGCACACCTTTGATCCCAGCACTCCAGAGGTAGAGGCAGGTGGATCTCTGTGAGTTTGAGGCCAACCCGGTCTATAAATCGAGTTCCAGGACAGCCAGAGCTACACAGAGAAAGTCTGTCTCAAAACAAAAACAAGAACAAATGCAGCTGGGCAAGATGTAGCATGCCTTTAATCCCAGCACTAGGGAGGCAGAGGCAAGTGAATCTCTGAGTTCAAGGCCAGCCTGGTACACAGAGGGAGCTCCAGGACAGTTGGAGCTACGCAGGGAAACCCTATCTCAACTCCCCCATCCCCCCAAAATAAATAAGTAATAATAAGTCATCATTTGTTACCATTCTAGTGTAAAAGGAAATGTTTCTTGACAAAGTATTAGTAAACTAGATTCAGAAAATATAAGCCATGGTTAAAAAAAAAAGAAAAAATACACAACCTGGGGCAACAGGACTAATTCACATAAAACACTAGTCAGTTGAATTATTTAGTAAAGTACAGAGTTGTATTAACACACCAGAAGTCAAAGAAAGAGGTCAGTGGGGAATGAAGGTATGGAAAGCTGAATCTGTGCACTGACCTGAAAATGGGGAGGAAAGTTACTTTATGAAGGTTGAGCATTAATTTTAAAATTTTTCATTTTTCTTTCACCTAAATCCAAACAGGATTTGAAATGGCTGAAGAATACATGAATTGTTTTTCAAGTGTTCTATTTTATTGTAGTTTCTTGTTGGTTTTGTTTTGTTTTGTTTTTCGAGACAGTGTTTCTCTGTGTAGCTTTTCACCTTTCCTGGAACTCTGTAGCCCAGGCTGTCCTTGAACTCATAGAGGTCCCCCTGGCTCTGCTTCCCAAATGCTGGGATTAAAGACATGTGCCACCACCGCCCGGCTTTTGTGTTCTTATTAAGACAGGGTTTTGTCAAGTAGTCCAGGCTGGCTTCAAACTCATGGTAGTCTTCCCTGAGCCTGGTAAGTCCTGGGGTTGCAAGGTGTGCCCCAACTCTCCAGGCCAATATATAATTAATATATTGGATATAATATGGGTTAATCTCATGCAAGTCTTGTGCAGGCAACCACAGCTACTGTGAATGCGGCAGTCCTGTAAGGTCCAGGGGAAGCTGTTTTGCCTTGTCTTCCTGGAACTCTGGCCTTTCTTCCCCCTGCTCTGCAGCTTTAGGGAGAGAAGGTGTGATATAGGTGTCCCATACACTTTTTCTCTGTGTTTCCCACCAGTTGCAATACTCTGTGTTAATTGTCATCTACTGAATAAAGAAGCTTTTCTGGTAAGATCTAAGAACTACACTAATCTATATAAGGATATGCACTTAGAAGTCTTGTTTTGTTTTGGTTTTTCAAGACAGGGTTTCTCTATGTAGCTTTGCGCCTTTCCTGGAACTCACTCTGTAGTCCAGGCTGGCCTTGAACTCACAGAGATCCTCGCTTAGAAGTCATTTTAATGCTATATCCATGTAGCAAAATAAAAGTAATGTGTTCAGTTCTAGAGTCTATGGGCTTCCTAGTGTTAGGGTCCTGGAGAAGTCCCCAAAAGACCACCACCCACGTATGCAAACAGTAAGAACGTTTATTATTCCAGCATGCTGGGCCTGCCATCCCACACACAGGCAAGATGGTAAAGACCCCAGAGAGGTGTGTGGGCTCCTTAAGGCAGTTAGGTCACTTTAGATATGATTGGCTCAAGCAAGTAGCAATCATATTAGTACATTTCAATTGGCCAGGGCTAGTCAAGGGCTGGTCAGGACTACAGTTTTCCATTTTTGGGAAGGTCTAGACAAGTCCTTGAGCTGTTGGTATGTGTGGGTGGGGGCGGGGGTACTGGCCTAGTGCATGCAGTTCTTCTCGTCCCTGTTGACAGGGGTCTTGGAGATTGATTGTCCTTTGTTCATGGCTCTTCCTCAGAAACTGCCTGCTCGGTTCCAAAAACCCTGGGTCTGAGGCCTAGTTCCTAACTGAATTACTAGGACAGGGTATTTTTTATATTTGCCTGACCCTCTCACCTAGCCACAAGTTCTTAGCCATATTGACAGTGCCACCTATGGGTTTTCCCCAGTGGAGGAGGCCTCAAATCCTATGAGAAAGTTGTTGGTTACCCTATGACATTGATGCCACTATTGAACCCATGGACATGTTCTTGTTACAGCTTTCCAGGTTCATATCAAGACCACTGATGAGTTTACTCTTCAATCAGCCTACACAGTACCATTTCATACTATGAAAGCTAACCCACAGAGAAAAAGCTTCCTGGACAATACCAGCTTGATTTCTACAAGTCCTACAGCCAAAGTGTGTGCTGTCTTCAGCAGGAGGGTCTTACTGTTACCTTCTGATGGGTAGCCAACAGGAATAGTAACAGTCTGTGTTATCTTGAGGGTCTCTAGACTCCTCTTGACCAGCAACTTTAGGGGAGATATCTCACACCCAGCACTGGGTTTTTACTTGTTAGCTTACGGATTCTGGGAGAGTACTATTCCTCTATGTAGGATATGGAGTTAATTATTTTAAAAAGCAAAAAATGGTAAAGACTTGGTGATAAAAAGCCTATAATCTCTATAGTCCTTGGAGAGCTGAGGCATGAGGTTTGAAAGTCCAAGGTCTACCCCGATTACAGAATGAGTTCAAGAATCACCTGGACAATTTAGTAAAACGTGGATTGGACAAAAATTAAAAGATGAAAGGTGGGTAGAAGGTCATCAAGTTATCTCAGAGGGTAAAGGCACTTGCTATGTAAGTCTAGTAACCTAACTTCCATCCTGGAACCCACACAAAGATTGATGGAGAGAACCAACTCCACAAGGTTGTCCTCTGACCCCCACAAGTACACCATGGTACAGGCACCCCTAGACGTACACAATAAATAAACATTTTTAAGATGGAGGTGCAAATCAGTAGAAGCACTAACATATTGTGTGCAAGTGCCTTGATTCAATCTCTAGTATTATAATAAGATCAGTAAGAATATTAACCAGCCTCAACGGCTCCTTCTTCCCAAAGGTCAGGACCATAAAGTAAGGTCGTAAGAAAACTTGATGCAAATAAAGTCATGATATAAGAATATTTTTAGTGCTGAAGATATGGTTCAGTGGAAGACCAGCACTGAAGAAAATAACCAATTCTAGTCAGCACTAAAGAGATACATATATTACTCTGAGTTTCCTAGTAGACACAAAACAATGGAAATATAATTACATGGAGTAATCGATCTCTCTCTCTCTCTCTCTCTCTCTCTCTCTCTCTCTCTCTGTGTGTGTGTGTGTGTGTGTGTGTGTGTGTGTGTGTGTGTGTGTGTAGTACTGGAGACTGAATCTAGGGACTCATGCATGCTGGCAAGTGAACTGAGTCATGTCCTGAGCCTGTGTAGTAACATCTGTGAGAAACAGACATGGTAGTTGTGTAGCAAGTTGGTCAGAGTAATATTCCCCCCCCTCGAGAGTCCTCCCAAAGGATACATAATGCTAAATAGCACTCTTTATGAGGGGGAAGAAAGACTGTAAAAGTATCTCTATAGCATCTATTCTAATATATTAAAAGCAAATACATTAGGATATTCAACACCATAACCCAACATTCAGACATAATAATAGGTCTTTGTGTGACCAAAATGATTAGGAAAGAAGGCTGATTACGGGAAATGTGGGACAGGTTGGGTTACAGCGAGCTTTAAAGCCATATGCAAACATTATACTGGAAAGGCTCTACCTGCTTTTGACTCTGGAAGTCAAAATATAAAAGCTACATTTAAGAATTACTAATGTACACCAGGAATGTTGGTGAATGCCTGTGATCCCTTCACTAGGGAGGTTGAGGCAGGAGGATCATGAGTTGGAAGTCCATCTGAACTACAAAGGGAGACTCTGGTTCAAAAGTAAAATTAATCCATAGGTGATGTTAGGGTGTGGTGGGTCCAATTTAAAGCCCCTCTCCCACAATACACCCATATGTGATCTTGGAAAGGAAAA